GATGCCCTTTGATTTCTCTACTATTGTGTATGATGTTCCTTTTCAACTTATTTTTATTGATCTTTGGGGTGTGGCACATATTCCTTCTTGTGGCTATCGATATTATGTGTCGTTTGTAGATGCATGTACACGCCATACTTGGGTGTATATGCTATAGAATAAATCCCAGGCTCTTGATGCATTTCGGTTATTTCAAACTATGTTTGACACTCAGTTTTCTTTGCCCATTAAGTCTATTCAGAGTGATTGGGGAGGCAAATGCAGGAAGTTGTCTTATGAGCTGGCTCGTGCATACATCTCTCATCGAATCACATGCCGTTACACTTCTTAACAGAATGGAGTTGTAGAACGTAAACACCGTCATTTGGTTGAGTTAGCTCTTGTGTTGCTAGCTCAGGCTGCTCTTCTATTTTGGTTCTGGTCATATGTTGTGGCTACAGCAACACATTTAATAAATTGATTTCCTAAGAGATTGTTAGGTAATATCTCACCATTTGAAAAGTTGTTTGGGACAAAACCTGACTACAAGACACTACGAGTTTTTGGTTGTCGTTGTTTTCCTCATTTGAGGCCCTATCAACAACATAAGTTAATGTTTCGATCTCCACCCTGTGTGTTCTTGGGTTACAACTCACAATATCGAGGGTTTCAATGTCTTGGTCATGATGGTCGTGTTTATATTTCAAGGCATGTTAAATTTGATGATGATGCGTTTCCTTTTACAGATAAGCAACAACATGAATGTATGCCTAGTAATCGTGCATAGCGATCAGCTCCCTTACAGGTTATTTCTAAACGTGTGAGCACAAGGGTTTTGTCTGGTTCATCGATACACCCTAACATGTCTTCACATGCTCGTGAAGGTTATACTAGTCAAGGTGGTGCTGAGTCCAGTATCCAATGTGGTGATGATAATTCAACTATGAAGATAGTACAACTGGGTCTAATGATCCTGAGCCTCCACAGTTGCCTACTGAAGTACCTGAAGATATACCTAATGCTGGCATGTAATATTCTCTTGAGAAAAATGTATCATCTGCAAATCGACATCACATGCTGACGAGAAGAAAATGTGGGATCTTTAAACCCAAGGTTTTGGTTAGTTCTTTGGATGAATCTCTTCCTGGTTCTATTAATGAAGCCATGAAATCCAAGGAATGGAAGGAAGATGTGCATGCTGAGCTTATTGCTCTTCAGAGTAATGGCATATGGTCTCTTGTAAATATGCCTGAGGGACGAACCATTGTTGGTTGCAAGTGGTTATTTAAAATAAAGCGTAATTCTGATGGAACGGTTCAACGGTACAAGGCTCGATTGGTGGCTAAGGGGTATTCTCAGGTACCTGGGCAAGATTTCAATAAGACATTTAGTCATGTTGTATGGTTTTCCACTCTTAATGTTATACTTGCTCTTGTTGTTTCTGGAGGATGGCCATTAAGACAGGTTGATGTCAACAATGTGTTTCTTCATGGTGATTTGAATGAAGATGTCTTCATGCAACAACCACCTAGTTTTGAACAATACACCCTGAAGGTGTTAGGTTGGTTTGCAAACTGCAGAAGTCTATTTATAGACTGTGTCAGGCACCACGAAATTGGCATGCTAAGTTGAAAAGTAGTCTACTTCAACTTGGTTTCAAGGAGTCCAGAGCTGATGCATCTTTGTTCATTTTGACAGAAGATTGAATGTCAACATACGTTTTGGTATATGTTGATGATATAATAGTTACAAGACAGTCATCGAGTGGGATTAAGAAGGTGGTTTTGTTATTGAAAAATCACTTCTCCTTAAAAGACCTAGGTGAGATGCACTATTTCTTAGGCATTGAAGTCAAGCAATGTGAACAATTGTTAGTTCTTAGTCAGAAGCAGTATACCTTAAAACTGCTTGAGAAGGCAAAAATGATCAAGGCTTCATTCACTGCCACTCCTATGGTAGCTTCCTCAAAGTTGAACAAGGATGAAGGGTAATTGCTTGCTGATGCTCGAGAATTTCGTAGTTTAGTGGGGGGCTACTCTATGTGTGTCACACAAGGCCTGATATTGCCTTCAATGTGAACAAGGTGGCTCAGTATATGCATGCTCCAAGATAGCAACATTTGCTTCATGCTAAGCTTATTCTGCGTTATCTAGCTGGGACATTGAACTATGGCCTTGGTTTCATGCCAGGCAAATTGCATATATCAGCCTTCTTGGATGCTGATTGGGGTGGTTATGCTGATGATAGGCGGTCAATGTCTGGTCACTATGTTTTTGTTGGAGGAAGTCTAGTGTCGTGGAGTGCAAAGAAACAAAAGGTGGTGTCACGATCAACCATGTAAGCTAAATATAGAAGTCTCGCAGATGCAGCAGCAGAGGTGGCATGGGTTGATGCTTTGCTCACTGACTTGAAGGTGTGCCAGGGTATAAGTAGACAACAATATGGTATGACAACACAAGTGCAATTGCATTAAGTGCTAATCCAGCGCATCATTCACAGTCCAATCATGTGGACTTAGATGTGCATTTTGTTCGAGAAAAAGTTACTGCAAACCAACTTTGTGTGAGTTATGTTCCAGCAGCTCATCAAATTACAGATGGCTTGACTAAGCCTTTTTCAAAAACAACCTTTGCTAGCTTTCGTGATAAACTCAATGTTTGTTTATTTGTTGAAGAATGGAAGAAGCAGGAAGAATGTTGAGAGTTATGGTTGTGTGCTCGTGCAGTTCTCGTGCAGCTCCATGCATATTCATGCATGAGGAGTTTCTAAAAGTGATCTAGAAGCTAGGTGGTTGAAAATTTGTTAGCCTTAACAGATTTTTGGTTATCTGATTCTCTTGAGTAGTTAAGCATTGTAAAAGTTCTTTATAAAGTGAGAGTGTAAAATGTGCTAAACAAGTTTCTTTGATTGAATGAAGTATTCATACGTTTCATACATCAGTTCTTGAAATTCTTTTTGCGTTATTCAACATGTATATTTGTATGTCTTTTTGACATATTTTTAATTTTGTTCCTGTGACACATTTTACCCTACGATCGTATACGTATATGCATACGCATACGTATGCGATCGTAGGGATGAGAATGAGACTCGAACCCGACGGGTTTCGACCCGATCTGATCCTATCGGGTCGTATTTTTTAGAAAAAAATTCGAGTTCGGGTCAGGTCGGGTTTTGTTAAAGGTGATGTTCGGGTTGGATTTGAGTTTAAGGTGAAAAATACCCGACCCAACCTGAAAAAAATATAATTTTACTTTATATATTTAGGAATAATTATAATAATACCTCTCTATATATTATTTTTTTCAATTAAATCAATGTTTTTATTGAATAAAAATAATATTTTTATTATTTCGGGTCAGGTCGGATCGGGTTCGGATTTTATCTCAAAAAGTTGGGTCGGGTGGAGGGTATATATTTTTTGGGTCGGGTGAATGATGTAAAATTTTCGGGTCGGGTCGGGGTCGGCTGAAACCCGACCCATGCTCATCCCTATGCGATCGCATAGATATTCTTACACCGCTCGTGTCCGATTTACGATTATCGGTGGTCTTTTAGTGGTTAAATTCATTCTTGTGATTGTTTGGTAATATACTTAGATATATTTTGCAAAATAACATGTAATTGGTTTCCCTCGTCAGTCTGTCGTCACTTCTAAAGTGTCTAGTTAGATAAAAATAAAGGAGTATTATTGACGATTATTAAATTACTATGAATGTCAGATTCAGAAGAAGGTTTCGACTATTATTATCCTCTTGAATTTTTTTTGTTTTATATTTAAAATATTTGGATGAATAGATTGATAGCATTGTTAAGATTTTAAGGTTAAAAAATGAGCGTGTAAAAGCCTTCAACTAGTCTCGAAAGAACAACGGTGGGTGTACATATCTGGGCGGGCAGACAGAACCAGGTCAAAGATTCAACTAAATTTTATATAGTTACCAAACACAAGTAGTGATATTAAAATCATGAAATGTAGGAGTTGACTACGTATAATGTATACTTCGTGTTTGGCTTCTAGTATTTGTATTCATCTGAATTTTTTTTAGCAAATTGTAAGATATAGTATATATTTCTTCTATGATTTATATCTAGGTAAGGGCACACCACTCAATGTGGGGCAGCCAATCTTACAATAAAAAAAATAGAAGCTACACATTAGGATTGAGTTATATTTATCCATTAAATTTTGATTTAATTGAGATTTAATTGAGTTAATAAGTTTTATATTATAATTTAAATTTTTTAAGTTAAGTCGAGTTAAATTGAGTTGTTCAAGTTTATGTTAGAATTTAATTAAAAATATTTATGATGTTATGGTATTATTTGATTCTAATTTAAATAATTTTTTATAACTATATACAATTTGCATATATATTTCTTTATATTTTTTTCATTTGCGATATACATATGTCTAGAGATGACAACGCGATTTTATGTCAAAGATGCAAACTTGAGAAGTTTTATTAGAAATTTAGAAGTGAAAAATTACAAAATTTTAAGAGTGGAGAGTTAGATGATTAATAGAAAATGTTTATGCTATAAGAAAATTTGAAACTTTCAGTGGGTACAACTAATCGTTTTTGGTCCATCCCTATATATATCATGTTAAGTTGAGATACTCGACTTAAAAAAATAAATTCAATGATTACTAAAAATTTTGAGTTATTCAATTCTATTTTATAACTCGAATTGATCTTAAAAAATTTGAAATGATTCGAGTAAAGTTTATAAAAAAACAAAACAAATCAAATTAAAAATTTTAACATTGAACCAAATTAAAAAAAATATTTTTACTCAAATTTTGCTTACCCTAATTACTCATTATATATTAATTCTAACTTGGGATTTTTTTTAATCTGTCCCTTGGAAGTTTAACTCGGAAGTCAATGGCATGCCCTACCTCACAAAGGCCACCAAAGGGCATTTGCTCTAATTTCTTGGGTGTTTCCGACCCTCAACTAAACAGCTACTATATATATTTCACCTAACCAAGCCTCCCTCATCAAGTTCCTCTTTCACTTGTTTCCTCAACTAGTTTCACCGGTTCCGTCTCTTTTCTTGTGAGGGATTTTCTTCAAGTTTACAGTGAAAACTGTGATAAGTTTTAGATTAGTTACAGTATTTCAGCATCGCTTAATCTTCAGATGAAGTTCGGGAAGGAATTTGCGTCTCAGATGGTGCCGGAATGGCAAGAAGCATACATGGATTACGATTACTTGAAGACGCTGTTAAAAGAAGTGCAACGTTTCAAGCATAGGACCAATCCACCGGCTGCTCCTGTGCTAAAACGGAAGCTGACACTGTATAGAGCTTTCAGTGGCTTAACACAACGTCACCACCATAACCCTACGAGTCCATCATCGTCTAATGATATTGAGAGCCAACCCATTCTGGTGAATTCCGTCGATCGGAACGGGTCACGAAATTACGAGACTACGTTCCTCATGTCGTCGGAGGAAGGGGGAGAGTACGAGCTGGTCTACTTTAGAAGGCTGGATGATGAGTTCAATAAAGTAGACAAGTTTTATAAGGCTACGATGCATGAGGTGATGAATGAAGCTGGGGTTTTGAACAACCAAATGGATGCTTTGATTGCTTTCAGGATTAAAGTTGAGAACCCTCCCGGAATTCATTTCGACAGGTCGGTGGAGATGACTCGTCTTGCTTCGGATATTGCAGCTTCTGCTGCTGCACTCTCGGCTTCTACTCCTAAATCAGCAACTAGTAACTTTCTCTTCTATTCTAAAGCTTTTTGTGTGGTTTATCAGTCCATTGCTTTTGCTTGCTTACCTTCATGTTTGAAACTTGATATGCAGGAAGGGCTGCTCACCTAGAAGCCATTGAAGAAAGCAACCATGGCCAACCAGATGATGAGGATGAAGAAGCCAAACCAGTAAAACTAAAACCCAAAGTCAATGTCATCAGGCCCGCTCCACTTGAAATACTTGACCGGGTGAAAATGAACAATACTCTTGAGACTCCTCGTTCCACCATTAAAGGTGTCCTCAAAGTAGAAAAGCATGCCGAGCTGAGTTTCAGTAGGGAAAATCTAAGAAAAGTTGAAGAACAACTTAAGCGGGCTTTTTCTGAATTTTACCAGAAGCTTCGCCTGCTTAAAAGTTACAGGCAATGCCTGCTTCTGCTAGCTTTCTACTTATTTCATAATCTGTTTTCTATAATTAGTCTCTTTTTTCATCTGATTCTACCAAACCTTCTGCCCTTGAATTTTAACAGCTTTTTGAATACGTTGGCTTTCTCCAAAATAATGAAGAAATATGACAAGATTACTTCCAGAAATGCATCAAAATCTTACATGAAAATGGTGGATAACTCATATCTTGGTAGCTCTGATGAGGTAGAGTTTTTTTTTTTTTTAACCTTTGGTATCCAAACTATTGAAAGACTAATGTAGATCGGGTCTGCATAGGCTTATTATTGGGACGAAACTTATTTAACCTTGTAGCTACTCTATTTAATGACTTAATTTTACCAGTGGCCTAATCTAGAAGCTTTCATCACAGATCACAAGGCTCATGGAGAGGGTTGAAACAGCATTCATCAAGCATTTTTCAAATGGAAACCGTGCTAAGGGAATGAACATTTTAAGGCCCACAGCAAAACGAGAAAGGCATAGGACAACCTTTTCAACAGGTAAGTTTTTTGTCGATAATTGGAACCTCTTCGAATATAATTGCCTTTCCTTGACCATTTCTATGAAAACATTTCAGGGTTTTTCGCTGGTTGCGCAGCCTCTCTTCTTCTCGCCCTTATTTTGATCATACGTGCCCGAAAAATCATGGACAGTGAAGGAAGGACCAAGTACATGGACACCATGTTTCCTCTTTACAGGTACTTCTATTTCTTTCTTCTTCAAGTTTACCACTGCATAAACATGATAATCCTCTTTCCCTCTGCAGTTTTTTTGGGTTCATTGTTCTGCACATGTTAATGTATGCAATCAATATATTCTATTGGAGGAAGTACCGAGTCAACTACGCCTTCATATTTGGTTTCAAGCCAGGAACCGAATTGGGTTATAAACAAGTTCTTCTTTTGAGTTTTGGTCTTGGAGCATTGGCATTAGCTAGTGTGCTCGGCAACCTTGACATGGAGATGGATCCCAAAACAAAGGACTACGAGGCATTCACTGAACTTCTTCCTCTAATGTTGGTTGTGGTAAGGCCATCTATTCAATATCATATAATAAATATATATTGGCCCCATTCATGTTCAAACAACAATTATTAACTCTCACCCTTTTGCCATGTTGCAGTGTCTATTTATCATTCTATTCCTGCCATTCAATATCTTGTATCGATCGAGTCGATTCTTCCTCCTCACATGCTTGTTCCATTGTATTTGCGCTCCTCTATACAAGGTAAATTGATCAAACAAATTAAGATTTGTTTAACTGTGGACCAAATCTTATTCATCTGTTACTGTCTATCCTGTTGCAGGTCACACTCCCAGATTTCTTCTTGGCTGATCAGTTAACTAGCCAGGTTTGTGGCAGATTACTCCTGGATTTCTTCGACGATCAATAGCTCGATACCATCCTTTCCAATTCATTTGAAGTACTCACATCATTGAATTAATTTATACAGGTGCAAGCAATTAGGAGCTTGGAGTTTTACATTTGCTACTATGGTTGGGGAGATTTTAGACTTAGAGAGACCACATGCAAAGAAAACAGCGTGTTTAGAACTTTCTCCTTCATTGTGGCAGTGCTTCCATACTTGGTTCGCTTCCTTCAATGCCTTCGCCGGCACTTCGAAGAGGAAGATCCACTTCAAGGACTCAATGGACTGAAATACTTCTTGACAATCGCAGCTGTTTGTTTGAGAACGGCATACAACATCAACAAGGGAATTGGGTGGGGTATAATAGCCTGGGTTTTCTCAGCCATTGCAGCAATATTTTGTACATATTGGGACTTGGTTTATGATTGGGGGCTTCTAAATCTCCACTCCAAGAACTTTTTACTGAGAGACAAACTCCTCCTTCCTCACAAAAAAGTATATTTTGGAGCCATGGTGAGTTACAAAAGTGAAAAATTAGTTAATCCCGCTATTACTATAATTGTCTCTAACGAATTACTGATATGAAATTTCAGGGCTTGAACGTTTTGTTGAGATTTGCCTGGCTCCAATCAGTGTTGAACTTCAGGTTTTCGCTGCATGAACAAACCCTGTTGACAATCGTCGCCAGTCTTGAGATCATTCGTCGAGGCATATGGAATTTCTTCAGGTAACCAATACTTCATTCATGCATGACTAATACTTTCCAACATTTTACAAACCCATGACTAATACTTTCCAACATTTTACAAACCAATTACTTACCACTTTTGTTGATGGATTATGCACATCAGGTTGGAAAATGAACATTTGAACAATGTTGGGAAGTATCGAGCGTTCAAGTCCGTACCATTACCTTTCAATTATGATGAGGATGATGACAAAGATGATTAAGTTTGTACCAATCTGCATTACCATTACCGTTATCCAGGGCCGGCCCTGGCCGGGGCAGGAGGGGCGTCCGCTCAGGGCCCATAATATTCAGTCGGCTCAGCATATATGTTTTTGGCCCAGAAAATTCAATCAATGCCTAATTTTCTCACTGAAAATTATATACATCAACCCATTTAATCAGCATATAGATTGCATATATCTTTTATTTCATTTAAAATGATCAGATGATTTTGTTCAAGCATATAATCTAATAAATTTATTTGTAATATGGGAATCACCCATGTGATCCAATAGAAAAGCATTTGGCAGCAAATCACCATGAAAAAGAAAAGGTATAATGTCAAATAAGTCTCTAACGTTCGATTAAATAATCATTTTAATCCTTTTTTGAATCATTTTAATTCAACGTTTTGACTAAATAGTCACCTAATGTTTTTTTAATATTTTGGTACCTATTGTTTCATTTTAGAAAGAAAATATGTATTTTAGAGCGTTGATAATTTGTCGACTAACGGTTTTTATCTATGGAGGGATTTTTTTACTCCAAAATAAACTATTGGATTAAGAAATATTTAAACATGATGTTTAATTTAAGAAATGCTTTTCCACGAGATAATATTTTTACACTAAAATCAATAATTCTGCATTTGGAAATGCTAGAAGGTAATGTTTTTATAAGTATTTGTATACTTAAATATATTTTTGACATTGTATTAAATTATTGTTTGTTTAATAATATAAATTTTATTTTATTTTATTGTTTGTTTAAATTATTTTTTTATTTCGACTCGACCCAAAAAATAGTCAAGACTGGCCATACGGGTTCACATATGGCTATGCAGGTTCATTTTCTAAAATGAAAGTGTTTTTCTAAAGATTAATTTTTTCTCATAAGTTAGAGATTATTTTTTTCTCATAATAAATTAAGAGAAACTTTTCTAAGCTGAAATTGTTGAAAAATTAATTGAGGTTAACAATGTCACAAGAAAGATTGAAAGAGCTAACTATGTTATGTAATGAAAAAATTATATTGAAAAATATTGATGTTGACACTATGATTTTGTATCAAAAAATACTCGAAGACAATGTTTTCTATAAATTTGTGTGTGCTTTAATATTTTTTTGATATTTTTGAGATGATAATTAATTACTATTTGTTTATTTTAATAAAAAAATTAATATCAATTTTATACTATATATTTTTTATAATTTTTTAAAATTAGGGGTTCATATCTTTTATTTCACCCCGGATCAAAAAAAAATACCCAGAGTCGGCCCTGTCATTATCATTGCCATAGCTTTCACCTGCAACATATCGAAGCTTATAATCCGATTGTGAGGCAACATTCGAATTAGTGTAACGTTTGGGTTTTAGTTTGAAAGTAAATAATTGATATAAACCTGAAAAGTCTCAAGTTATGAACTAATAACAAAAGGATGGAAACAAATGTACAAATGGAAAAAGACAGTGAATTATAATTCTTTTTGAACTAGGTTTTCTTGAGTTGTTCACTTAGTTTGGAACTAATATATCAGCACTTTTAGACTTGCTTGTTGTTGTTAAATGAAAATATTTAATTAATATTTTATTTTAAATGACTAAATATTCATATGTGTGTGTAAATTTGAATATAATAAAAAAATAACTTTTAGCTTAAATTCATATTTTTATAAAATTTAAAAAGTAAATATATTGATCAATTTATAATATAATTGTTTATAATAGACAATTTTCGATCTCTTATCCGTTAGAAATCTATTTCATAAATTTAATAAGACCGTAAATTTGATAAATATTTTTTATGTTTTTCAATTATTTAATTGATGTTTTATATTTTTTTCAAAATATTTTTAAATTATTCATTTATAATATAACTATTATATACACAAACTTCTCAAATTATAAATTTATTTCAATTAAATTATGTCAATTGATTATCATATTTATTTTCTAATACTTAAAAAATTTTAAATTGAGATTTAATTTTTTATATTTGAATTTATAAAATAATTTATATTTTAGAATAATTTTTAAAATATTTATTTCAATTTGAATATTTCATTATTTTAAATAATATTAGTTAAAGTTTTTCTGAAACAATAAAAATAAAAACTAATTTTACTTTTCAATTATGTAAATTAAATTTTCATTTTTGTTTCCTATTAATTAATTTAATTCTTTTACTTTAAAAATAATTTTCAGCTGAAATATAAAGGGGAAAAAGCTATAAGAAAGACACGTGGCGTGTTTTTCCTAAAGGAACACAACTAGGAGTACAAGATAGGGGCAGAGAATTTGAGTAGTTCTGCTACATCCTTAATATATAGTTGAGGAAAGGCTTTATCGGAAATATTATTATTTTTTAATATTTTTGATAAAATATTATCTCAAATATTATTTTTTTACCAAAAATATTATTTTCGTTAATTAATTTTTGGTAGAATTTAATATTAATATTTTTTGTAAAAAAAATAATATTTTAGGTAGCGCTTTACCAGAAATGTTAAATATTTTATGTAGTGTTTGATATTAACATTTTCTGTAGAAAAAAAATAATGTTTTAGGTATCGTTTTACCGAAAATGTTAAAAAAATATTTCTGATAGCGTTTTTCCGTAGCTGTATATTAAAGTTGTCGTACCTGAGACATCCCCAAAGGGTTTGGATTCGTTCCAGGTAAGGTGTTTCTTCTACCTCAACAAGATTGTCTGCGGTGTCAGGGAAATATTCAAAGCTCGTATTGTCTATATTTTAACTGCCATTGATCTTTGAGTATTGTATCTAGGGATTTAAATTGCGGTTGCAATTGCATCTTTGATTGTGTTTTGTTTATCGTTATTACAGATATAATGAACGTTATTACAGTGATTGCGAGTATCGTGGTCATGCAATAACAATTTCAGACGGCATCATTATCGCTATATAACGGCCTCTATTATGGTAGGGGACCGCTATTTAAATTCATGACAATATCCAAGGGCGAATGCACTAAACCCCTTACGGATCAAGTTCATCTTCATTATTTAGGAAAAAACTATGATATTTAGTTTAAAATATTTGTTAGAAACGCAATAGGCAATGACATAAATCCCACATTGGGAAGGGATATACCTTTGGAAATGTATAGGCTTGTAAATGAACTAAACGTTCAACGAACCGTTCATGAACCGTGCGGCGGGAAGTTCGTTTATGTGCGTTTATTTATTAAATGAACGAACATGAACAAGATTTTGTGTTCGTTTAATTAAATGAACGAACATGAACATATGTCTCGTTCGTTCATTTACGTTCGTGAACGTTCGTTTATGTTCGTATATGTTCATTCATTTATGTTTAACCCAATCTTCTTAAATCAATTTTGGTGACCAATATGTAAGTATCTTAAAAATATTAATTAATATGATATTCTGATGATCAAGTCCATAATTAACCCAATTTTATTTGGAGATTAAATCCAATATGTTAACCCGTGAGGCACCTCGCACCTATATTCATTCCCCCCTTTTTTTCCCAAACCCCAGTGTTCACTGGAGAGTGGAGACGATCGCTGAAAGCTTCAAAACAAGTTATATTATAGTGCAATCTGAAGTTTGACAGGTCTGTTTTCATCTCTTTCTCTGTTTTATTTGGCTTAATAGTTGATAAGTAAAGATATTGCGGGTATCTTCATATCTAAAACTCAAGAAAACATTATACTTCTTTCTAGAAATAGATGGGAAGATAAATGTAACAATCAAAAGTATATTAGCATCAGTAAAGAGAAAAATATATAGAATTTTTCAGAAAACAAAACAAAGGTTTCTATGCAATTTCTGAAAAAGAGTGTAATAGCGGAAGTAATGGATTTTTCAGGAAGAACCCATTAATAAGTAGAAAATACACTTTGACAATGAACTTTTGTTTCATAGTTCTTGACCTTTAGTTGTGGAGTAGACTTTAGGTACGTTAAAATTTTGAATGGTGGTTTAGCAATAATATCAGTTACGATATGTAGCATCGAAGGGATTTCGGATCTATGTTATTGCCTTGTAGTCCAATTTGTACCATTCGAAATCTTCATGCTGTTAAAATTTCTACTCTGCCAACAGAAAGGACCATTATTAACAAACCTCACTAAAGTCTGACATTGATGTCACAAAACTTTTAGCCGGCGAATTTATTAGAATAACGTAGTGGAAAATGATTGTTCATATGTAATCATGTACCACTAAGATAAATATTATAGCGTTAAATTAAAGTCGTGTGAATAATTTAATATCTTTAAAAGATCGATCGAAATATTTGATATCTTCAAACATTTCATCACTGTTAATAAGCTCTTACGCTATTTATCACTGTAGATTTGGTTGATTTGCATTGTCGACTATTTTTCATGAAAGAACAATGGAAGGTAGGGTCTTCAACGTTTATGTTCGTGTTCATTTATGTTCGTGTTCGTTTATGTTCGTGTTCGTTTATGTTCGTTTATTTGTTAAATGAACGAACATGAACAAGTTATATTCCTTAATAAACGAACATGAACAAAAAAAAATTTGTTCGTTTATGTTCGTGTTCGTTTAAGTTCGTTTATTTATTAAATGAACGAACATGAACATACTTCCGTTCGTGTACGTTCGGTTCATTTACAGGCCTACAAATGTATTTAAAAAACTACTATTTACCAAATATTGAATGATAACTCCCTTGTACCCATGCATCATTACTGTTTGATTGACTTGTTGCCAAAACAATTACATGCCTTTGACATTTAGTGTGTATTCTTTTCTTTTTAAAAAAATTCGTAAGAATAATTTTACAAAATATATTTTGAAGAAATTGAAACAAAATATTTTAAAATGTATTTATAGACACATCTCTCTATACGAAACGGATAATATTCTGATATTGGTACAACATAATTTTCAAAATTTATTATTTTTGTAATTTAACAACTATTACAATTGTTGTTTTTGAATATTTTGACTATGAATCTAGACTGTTTTTTAATTAGATTTGTAGCAGACAACATATTAATTTTCGTTTATTTAGTTGTTACAGTTGTTTCATTGCAATTTAATTGTTGTAATATTACAGCAGCTGAATGGGCTGCTTAATTCATACCTTAATATCATTTGCAGCATTTCCAAATCATCCAACAACATTTTCTTCTCTCTTTTTACAAAGAATTTTTTTCAGTCCTTTCTCT